TAAGGAGGATATATATTCCAGGGGCAAGTAGTAGAAGGCATGCGGCTGTTTAATGTAGAATTAGTAATATGATTTTTTGAACTACTTTTTTTTATTTATCATTAATTATGTTTTATTATCATTTTTTTTTTCTGTTTTTTAGGAATTAAAGAGTTAAAAATAGTGCATCTTTAATCTTTTCATATTTTTCTGGTACATTTTGTCTTTCATATTTTATCAACAATTTTTTTATGGCATTCTGTAGATTCTAAAACAGTTATGTTCATATTTAGAGAAAAATATCATTTTTCACTATTATACTTTTGTGTTTCAGAAAGATTCAACATGGGAAAAAGTAATAATTTTTGTTTTATTATTTTCTTAATTTGTTTATTTGTTGGTAAGTTTTTTATTGGTTAATAGTCTTTGGATTATGTGGTCATCACACCGGTATTTTTCATGGTGTTTACGTACCTGTTTCAATGAAATTGTAAAAAGACCTCCCTATAACTAATATAAAAATAGCTATACATACTGTTCAGAAGTGATGTCATTTTCTTGAATGAATTTGATGGTTTTTGGTACGTTAAGGTTTAACTAACATGGATATATCCTATAGCACACAAGGATATAATTAACTTCCTCCTATGTGAAAAGGATATTAAACTTCTATATTATTCTTTCATTATCAAACTTCTGTATTTTACTGGCCAATTTTCTAAAAGTTGGGGCTTTTGTGATTGCTTCCACTATCTCTGTTAATGATCAAGTCTGTATTTTATTGTTACTTGATTATATGCTGCAATATTTTGTAGGAACTAAATAACTTGGAGAGTATTTTTGCAGATCTTGGAATGTTTGGTCTTGAAAAAACATGCTACAAGAATGCCATTCCAATTAGGTACACGAGCTCATCAAGGTGTTGACTAAACTAATTGACAAGCTAGAAAGAAGAGATGATCATTCCAATGTTGAGATTTTGCAACATATTCCAAAACATACATTGTAGCATAGAAAGGATAAGTCGAAGGAAATGACAAAAATTATTTCAGTGGTGTAATCATTTAGTATTTGACAAAAAAATATTAATATAATATCTATTTAATATTTTAATATTTATTAATAAATAATGTATATCCCGTGAGTATAAAATCTAGTTCTTACAATTTATTGTACTTCTCGGAAAAATGACAGCAATCTTCATACATCATTGTTAAACTTGCCATAAAAACACAAGTTGGCAGGGAAAGCCACAATAGAAGCACTCAAGATTTACCATTTGAACTTTTCAGAATTCCACACCAAAAAAATTGGCACACAGATAGAAAACCCATGCAAGAAAGGATTTCTCATACAATACAAAGCCCCGCAAGCTAATGTGTTAGAACACACTCAGAATCAAAGGAAAAAAAAGGGTGAGAGAAAACAAGAGATGAATTATTATTTATTTTTTTATAAGCAAGAGAGATTTAAATTAAAAGGGAGTACAAGAGGTACTCCAACCCGTTACAAGGAACACACAAACATAATTATAAATAAAAATCAAAGTCGAAACTATGAAAAACATAAATTCGGGTTATGATATCAGTTAATGTAACTAAAAGAATATCCAGAGACAGAACTAGTTATCCACTTCCATGAACGCAGTTTAATGCTGTCCAACACTTCCTTACAATCCGAAACACCTTGCTGAAATGTGATCACATTTCGATGAAGCCATAGTGACCAGATAACAGTAACAATGATTTGCACGGAAACGCATTCAGAAACACCTGCCACCAAAACACCAGACACTTAATCGGAGCCTTGCTTTTCCAAAGACTTTTTATAATTTGTTGAAAATCTGAAGAATATGTAGGTTCTCCACCCAACAAGCGCTGGAGCCAAAAGTACGCACTTTTCACCAAGAATACTCCATCCTTATCACAAATTCATCTCCAATAATCTTGCTTAGAAGGGAAAATCTACAAACCTTGAAGCATATCCAACAAGGTATTCACACTACTAACTTCATGGACAAAAGGTTCTCTTCTCCACTTAACCTGCCACACCCACCTAGATCCCTCCCATGTTCCATTATGTGTCACCACTGACAAAGGATCAATAGCAAAGGAGTACAAACGAGAGAAAACATCCAACAAGCGCAAACCACCTAACCACTTATCCTCCCAAAACTGGGTCATAGTGCCATCACCAATACAACGATCAATTTTTTCATCTAACCAAAAATTTCCTTATTGTAGCACACACACTATATCCTTCCACCACCAATAAGCCCTCCTATCCACATCAGAACAATTAGAAAAGGACTCAATGCGCCTATACCTACTATGAAGAACTTTAGCCCACAACATCCCCGGAGAAAGCATGCTCCTCCACACCCATTTTCCTAGTAGTGCCAATTGAACAATCTTACATCCTTGATTCCTAGTCCACCCTCAACCTTAGACTTACACACAATTTCCCATTTTACCCTTCTTTGAGCCATCCTTGACACCTCTCCACAAGAAATCACGTTGAATGGCCACAATTTCCTTAATCATTGAGTTCGGTGCTTAATAAAATGACAGAAAATGGATGGGCATAGCATTCAGAACCGAATTAATTAAGGTCACCCTCCCCCCAATGGACAAATGCCTATACTTCCAAGAGGATAGACGCTTTCGTAAGCCATCAAGTATTTGTTTCCAAGTATGCAACTTCCTAGGATTTGCACCAAGAGGTAAGCCCAAATGCTTAAACGTTAGTTGACCCACCTTTCAATGTAAAAAAGCAGCTGCCAAATCAATGAAATCTGCCCCTGAATGGATACCAACCACGCAACTCTTGTGGAAATTTATTTTCATACCTGAAATTAACTCAAAACAGCACAAGATGGCCTTTAAACATCACAAATTTTGCCTAGTAGCTTCTCCAATAATCAAAGTATCATCCGTGAACTGTAATAGAGAAATCCTCGGACCTTCACCACCCAAGTTTAATCCCGTAAACAAATTCAAATCTAAAGCCCTAGTCATCAACAATCTAAGACCTTCCACAACGATCAGGAATAGAGATGGTGCTAATGGATCCCCCTGCTTTAATCCCCTACCAATAGATACTTCCGCTGTAGGACTCCCATTCACAAGGGCTGATAAAGTACCCCCACATACACAACCTTCCATCCACCGGACCCATCTCTCATCAAAACCGTACTCTCGAAGCATGAACAACAAATAGTCTCATTCGACATAGTCATATGCCTTCTCATAATCAATCTTCATAACAAAAATCAACTTCTTATATTTTTGAGCATAATCAATGGCCTCGGCAGCAACTAGAACATTATCCAACATATGTCTATCAGGAATAAAAGCAGACTGATTTTCTGAGATAATTGATGGAAGAGTACCACGCAATCTATTCGCCAATACCTTAGAAATAATTTTATAAAAGCACCCAATAAGCAACTCCCTAAAAATTATGAATTTAAAAAAATTATTTCTTACTTTTGTCTATCACACATACATCACTATTTATTAACAACTCCCTAACTAACCGAATTATCTACAACACAGCCACGACACTTTGTATATGAAGATGCATGTTGTTTAACATCCTTGCAGTTTCACGAGGGGACTCATCTTTCTCAGATCATTCCGAATCCCATCTACGTGCAGATCCTCCACCTTTATCATCTCTGTTCCTTTTATCTTCACCAGCTCCCCTATGGTCGTATGCCTGGTTCGCTGGAAAAGAAAGGGCTGTCACCACATCCCCAATGAGAGGACGTGCTGCCGATTGTTCTTGAATGCACATTGTTGCCACAGCTAGAGCTTGGTAAAGACCCCGCATGGGATACCGCCCCTGCAGCTGTGGATCTACTAACTTAGGAAACTTCCTGCGGTCGTTGAACAGTGGACGTGCCGGCTCAAACATATAAAACCACCATTACCACTTCCATGGTTATATATGCATAAGGCAATGCATGCCAAACTAATAAAGACTACAAGATTACCCATGTGACAAGGTTTTGTTCTCCATGGGATCGGATGTTGTCAATGGCCTTGCGGCCAGTAATCAGCTCCAGGAAGACTACCCCAAAACTATATATGTCAGACCTCAAAGTCAGCTGTCCAATCATAGCATGTTCCGGAGCACAGTAACCATAATTTCTCATGACATGGGTGAAAACATGTGCTTTGTTACCAACAGGCCAAAGTCTGAAAGTTTTGGATGATAACCTTCATCAAGTAATATACTAGATGATTTGAAGTCTCCATAAATATTGACCGGAGGATTTACTTTGTTTTGAAGGTATTCCAATCCTTTTGCTGCCCCAGCAGCTATTTTCATCCTGGTGTTCCAATCTAATGGCTCCTTATCCGGGGTAAGATCTGCACTCCAGTCCATAAATAATGATTAAACCTTAGTTATTATTAGAAAAAGCTAGTCTTGCAGGCCACATACCAAGTTGATAAGGCTTTATTAGAAAAAGCTTTTAGATTTTAACAGCTACTACATTAGCATATATATGCATCATAAATAAAAATAAACTTTCCAGTGTAACAGCGTTATTCTTTCCTCTGTCTCTCTTGAAGGAGCTAAAGCAGAGAATTATAGAGGCAAAGCATGGAAAATAATAAATAAAAGCACATAACATGACAAACATATTTGCTTAGGTGTTCGGTTTCAGCTCAAGGGCAAAACCCTTCAGACAATGATATTTACATTAAAGCAATTAATTATATTTTTCCGTATTGCAAAATATATAGTAGTATCCGTCTAATCGGTGGTTTTGAATTTGAATCCTAAATATGTAATTATATTAAATATTTAAAATAGTTTTGTTGTCCATATTGGTCCTTGGAGATTCAAACAAAATTGTCATTAATGAAAAATACATATGGTCTAAATTAAAACTATTACGTAATTTTGTTAGTGATATTACATTTTGAAACATTTGACTGTAAGTCTTTTCTAAGAAATTATAAACTTGAGATAATTCCTAATCTTATCCTCCCGTGTATTTGCACTGCATAAACAGATAATGGTGAGCCTTTATCAATTTTGAAATGTATTAGCATCTGATCTTAGGAGTCGGCCTATTTCTAAAAGAGAAAACTTATAATCAATTTCTTAATATATGAGAAAGTACTCGACTAAAACTGAAACAAAGAAATTCTTAATATAAAAAGTGGTATTGAACTCCAAAATATATAGTACTAGTAAATGCATTGATTTTAGAGCTTGGAAAAGAGTGGTTTCCGTTTCTGCTTCTGTGCCATCACTGCTTCAGTTAAGTCAGGGGATAACAATCTGGAAGCATTCAAGGTTGCAACATAATCCAACCCTTGATCCACAGCTAAGTCCCTACTTTTAAGCAAAACCATTTTTGTCCCAACAACTGCAAGGGGAGACTTGGTAGCAATTGCTGTCATGTGAAGCATAAGTCAGAATAAGGACAAGTTGCAAGTTGCAAGTTGCAAGTTGCAAGGAAAGGAAATCAAAATTACTAAAATGCACCTTGAGCGACAAGGCGGACGGCCTCGTCGAGGTCGTTTTTGGAATTGAAAGTGCGAGAAACGAGACCCAACTCCTTAGCCTCGGAACCGGAGAAGGTGCGAGCCGTCAAAGCCAATTCCATGGCGTTGGCGAAGCCCACAATAAAGGGCAACCTCTGAAGAGTTCCGAGATCAGCCGCAAGGCCCAAATCCACTTCTTTCACCGAGAAAAATGCCTCCTTTGTGCACATCCTTATGTCACACGCCGTTATGATATCAATTCCACCGCCAATGCAAGCTCCATGTATGCTGGCGATCACCGGCTTCCGGCACCGTTCCAGGGCCGTCACCGCATCTTGCATCGCCATGATCTGTCGCCGGAGGCTCTCGCCGGAACCTGAATTGCCAGCGCTTGATGTTGATCCCAAAATGGAGAGGTCGATGCCGGAGCAGAAGTGCTTGCCAGCACCCATCAAGACGATGACCTTGACTTGGGGGTTGTCATCGAGTGCATAGAGGACTTTGGGGAAGTCAGTGAAGAAATCATGGGAAAGAGCGTTGCGTCGTGAGGGACGATTCAATACAAGATAGGAAACACCCGATTTTGGGTTCTTCTCTACAATTTCCAGGCTTTGGTATTTCTCTTCCATCCCTCTTCAAACCCTATCCCATATGCAACAACTCACACATTGACATTTATATGAGGTATATTGAATTGAATTTTTTAAATTTTTTTTATTATAAAAAAGTTTTTAATATTTAATTAAGATTTTTTAATATAAAAAGTTATGTATTATTTAATTAAAATAATTAAAAATTTTAAAAATATATCAATGGTACTCAATTAAAATAATAAAAAGATTAAAATATATCAAAATCTATTAATATTTGATTAAAAAATTACTTAAAAAATATAATAATATTTTAAAATATATAGATTCAATAGATTATTTTAAAGAATGAATTTTATGAAACTTTTTAATATAATTTATATATAATTTATTCATCCAAAACTATCATCAAAACTTTATATAACTTTTTTTCTTCCTTTAATTTTTCTCATTTTTTCTCTCATCTTTTTTCTTTTATCTTTTTCTTGTATTGCTCTTTTTCTTGTGTCATTGGTATTCTTCTTTCTCTTTTCTATTTCTTTTTTTTTTCCTCTCTCTCTTTCTTTCTTTCCTTCTTCTCTCTCTTCTCATGTATTTTTTATTTTTTATTTTTTTTATTTTTGTTTATCTCTATATTTTTTCTCTTTCAATATTTTTTGTTACATTTTTATCTATCAATGTTGATGTATAATTTATCAATTAGATAACTATGATTTTACGAACATCCCACCAACTTTTACCACCTAAAGAATATAATCCATCGTCTAATCCCCTTTTAAGTTCACAGGTTTCCATTGAAAAATCAAGCCATCAAAATAGAAATAGTTCCAAATGTGAAGGGAGTTCTAATTTAATTGGTACTAACAATCATGCCAAAGTTTTAGATAATTTGTCTATTGACATTGGGGCCATTGGTGTCAATTTTTTTTTTAAATATCTAACGTGTTGAAGGAAAAAAAATGGCAATGAGAAAAGAGAAAAATAATAATATTTTGGATGTTATAAAAAACATTCCAAATTTGAATGACAAACTTGTTTCATAGTTGTTGGTTTGCTTGATACTAAAGCAAAAAAAAAAAATTTCTTTAAGATGTCATTAGAAAAATGTTCATCTTGGATAAACTTCAAGTTAGGATGATTAACAATTTGTTAAACTATATTTTTTAAGTGTTATTTTGACTGTATTTTGGTTGAAATATTTGATTTTATATTTTGGTGGAGCTATAATGGTTGAATAATATAAAGAAATTTGGATTGCGTCAGGGCTATTTATGGTACTCATTTCGACAATAGTGAAGGGACAAGATGTAAGTAATTATTGTAATTGTTATGGAAAGATATCACAAAATGTATTAGCAACTTGTAAGTTTGATTTGGAATTCATGTGTATTCTTAGCAGATGGGAGGGTTGAGCTCATGAATCCAAGTTATTAAGTAATACTTTGACAAAGCAAAATGGACTTGAAAAAGTGTCTCAAGGTAAATTTTTCAATAATAAATTTTTTTTCATTTTTTTATACTAATTTTATATGTTGTATATGTAATTAGATAAATATGGTTGAGCTCATGAATCCAAGTTATTAAGTAATACTTTGACAAAGCAAAATGGACTTGAAAAAGTGTCTCAAGGTAAATTTTTTCAATAATATTTTTTTTTTCATTTTTTTATACTAATTTTATATGTTGTATATGTAATTAGATAAATATTTTCTAGCGAATTGTGGATTTTCTAATAGATGCTAATTTTTAACTCCATTTTAAGGTATGTGATATCATTTATGAGATTTTGCAAGTCATTGATCTCAAAATGAAAATTAGGTATTCAATTTATATCATGCATTCTCTAGAAATCTAATCAAGATAATATTTGATATTTTAAAATCACGTTTCACAATTTTTAAATTAGTGTCTCAATTTCTATTTTAGACACAAGTTGACCTATTATTAGCATGTGTAACACTACATAAATTTTTTCACAATGTCGTTTTGATGAATTTTCAACTAAAATAATTGATGACTCTTCATCTTCATTACTACTAGTTCATAAAAATCATAATTTCGAACATATTTTCAAACTTGAGTATGAAAGAAAATATGTCAATGCATGAAGGACTAATATAACTTTAAATATGTAGAGAAATATTAGTTAGGAGGACATTAAAGTCAATTATTTGTCAAAAGATGAAAATAGTTATTTATCAAATGAAAGAAAAAATTGTGTTGGTTTTACTTTTCTTTAATATGTATGTTATATTTTTTTATTAATTCATGTAGCATTAAATATGTTTTATAAATCCATGTTTTTATGTGAAATTTATAAAATCCTTTAAAATTTTATGATATAGATCTATCAAAATATGTTAAAATTGATTAAAATTTGAGCTATAAAGTCTTGATTAAATTCATGTTTAAAAAAAATCTTAAAAATCTTAAAAATCATGACATTTTTTCAAAGTCTTTTAAAATCTATTAAAATTCACAAGACATTTCCATACCAAAATAGTCTTTCAAAATTTTAATCCAATACACTCCCTTAAACTAACTTTTTTTTAATAGTATTATGATACTAAATAATTTGATTAAGAAACATAAATCAATATCATTTACTGTCAATTGAGCTAAGCTAAGTAACCTAAACTATAAAATAAATACACCTTCATCTCATTTTTTGTTTGCTAAAAAGACTTGAAAAAAATATACATTTACAATTAATGCAAACTTAAAAAATAAACATTCATTATATATCTATGCATATTATTGAGATAAAACTCAAATTTTGATTGGAGAACAACACCAACCATATATAAAGAATTACACTTAATTTTAATTCCTAAAAAAATATAATTAATATGTTTGATTTCATAAATTTTTTAATGTAATTTTTCAATATGTGCTTAATCTTTTTTTGTTTCCTACCAATAAAATAAAAATTTAAAAATAAGATAAAATATTTTAATTAAATAATAATTAAAAACATAATAATAATAATAATAATAATAATAATAATAAAATATTTAATATCATATTGATATTATAAACAACAATCAAATTTAATAGACAAAAAAATTTCAAACCATCAAACAAAATGAAAAGAGAGTAACAAGTAAGCAACAAAAATACAATAAACATTCTTTACAAAAAAAAAATCATTATTTGATAAATATTAAAAACACATTTTGTAATAATTTTTTATTTTTTTAAATTATAAAATTTTATTAATCTTTTTTATTCTTAAAAATTATAATATGATAATAAAGTTCAAACCTAAATCATTGTGCATACTATACTAATCTCTCATCACTAGATTGGTTTTAGTAGTTCAAAAATATATTTACATTATTTAATAAATTTATTATAATTTTATAAATTATAATAAATTTTAATCAATAAAAATCATTAAAATAAATATATTAGATTTTTTTAATATATATTATATATATATATATATTAATTAGAGAGCGTACGTACTATTACTAATACTAATTCATTTCTTTGTCTTCAGTTACGTAAGAAAATTACCTAAAAGTATTAACATAATGAGATAATAATCCTATAAGTACCATTATCTTATCTTAATAAAATTAAAAGTATACAAAAATAATAAAATATTTTATATTAAAAATAAATTACTTCATTATCTTATTTTTTTATAAACAAAAATTAGTGAATGGTGTTTGATTTAATAAAAAATGATTTGATATTTTATTTTTATAAAACAAAATTGACGTAATATATTCATTTTAAAATACATTAAAATATGAACACTTTGATTATCTTCAAGTTCTTGTTCAATTTTAACAAAATTTGATATACACGTATAAAGTGATGTAAACTTTCAATCTATCGGTTGGATTTACAAAATTCACAATTAATATAAAGTTATTAAGCAATATAATACTTATAAAAGTTACACCGGTGTAATTATAACCCTCCTCATATATATATATATATATATATATATATATATATTAGTTTGCAAAATTAATTTGTAATTAATTGATATACTCAATTGTATAAACTTCAAAGAAATTGGTAGAAAAAATATAGTTTACATATTCAAATTTATATCACTATTTCACATACATTTTGTTATTAAAACTAATTATTATATTTATTAAATATAATATAACTATTAAATTTAGTAAACTTAATAACAATATATGCATATTGAACAAGAACATATAAATTTTTAAATGACTATATATATTAAAATTTAAATATATTATGAACTCTTTTAAAGAAATTTTTTCAATAGTGTTAAACTAAACGATGTAAACCATATATCTTGATATAAGAAGTAATATAATACCCGCATTTTTTATGATAAATCTGTAACTTATTTTATATCAAAGAGAACTTGGATTTCTCATGAGAAAGAAGAGTATTTTATTTTATCGGCAGTAAAGTAAGTTTAATGAACTAAATATGAGAGCGAAGAAACTTATTGCTTTTTGGCTGAGATTAGCAAGAAGACGTTACAATCTTGGATTCATTCTCACATTTTAGCTCAAAAAACCCAGGCGAGTAGGAACAAGCATTTTGGCCTGCAGCATTTTCAAAAAGCGTCGGTCCTCAACTCATAACTTTGACCTCCTAGTTCTAGCAAATAATGTACACTCTCCAACACCAATATGCTCGTGTGCACGAGGTAAATGAAAGTACATAAAAGAAAACTTGGTGAATAAACGGGGGTGATTTTGGTACCCGGTTCATTATGTTTGGTTGCGGCGCAAGACAGATTCTAAACAAAGTAGAACCTGGTGAATGGCCAAAAAGGGCATTTCAGACTCGCATTGCATCTGCATGAGCGCAGCTGAGCTGAAGACGGTAATGTGATGGGAAGGAATTGTACAATGGAGACTAGGCGTTAGAACCATCAAAACTGCCCTGCGCACTTTGTCGTCTTTTCTCCCTCCAGTTCTCTCCCCACATCTTGGCTTCAGCCACCGCACGTTCTCTATCAAGATGCATGTTGTTTAACATCCTTGCAGTTTCACGAGGGGACTCATCTTTCTCAGATCCTTCCAAATCCCATCTGCGTCCAGATCCTCCACCTTCATCATTTTTCAATATTCTTCCTCCTTTATCATCTCTGTTCCTTTTATCTTCACCAGCTCCCCTATGGTCAAATGCCTGGTTTGCTAGAAAAGAAAGGGCTGTCACCACATCCCCAATGAGAGGACGCGCTGCCGCCTGCTCTTGAATGCACATTGATGCCACAGCTAGAGCTTGGTAAAGACCCCGCATGGGATACCGCCCCTGCAGCTGTGGATCTGCTAACTTTGGAAACTTCCTGCGGTCGTTGAACAGTGGACGTGCCTGCTCAAACATACAAAACCATCATTACCACCCCCATTGTAATGTATGCATAAGTTAATGCATGCCAAACTAATAAAGATTAGATGATTACCCATGTGACCAGGTTTTGTTCTCCATGGGGTCGGGTGCTGTCAATGGCTTTACGCCCAGTAATTAGCTCCAAGAAGACTACCCCAAAACTATATACATCAGACTTCACAGTCAGCTGTCCGGTCATAGCATATTCTGGGGCACAGTAACCATAAGTTCCCATGACACGGGTGGAAACATGTGATTTGTCACCAACTGGACCGAGCTTTGCAAGACCGAAGTCTGAAAGTTTTGGATGATAACCTTCGTCAAGTAATATATTAGATGATTTGAAGTCTCTATAAATGACAGGAGGATTTGCTTTGTCATGAAGGTATTCTAATCCTTTTGCTGCCCCAGCAGCTATTTTCATCCTGGTGTTCCAATCTAATGGCTCCTTATCCGGGGGAAGATCTGCACTCCAGCCCATAAATAATGATTAAACTTTAATTATTATCAACGTAACTGCATTATGTTTAAGAAAGCAGTAATGTAAAAACACGACATTTATTCTCCACTCTACCCAAAAGTATTGAGATTTTAGTCAATCATCATAAGACATATATGCTAACAAGGCAAAATGGAAACATTTCTGGCAGACAAGCTAGTCCAAACATTAAGTTGATTAGGCTTCATTAAAAAAATGCTTTGGGATTTGAACAGCCACTACATAGCATATATGTGCATCGTGATTCATGAATGGAAAATAAACTTCAATGTGACAACTTTACTTTTTTCTGTGTCTCGCTTGAAGGAGCTAAAGCAGCACCCTGAATGGGTAGAAGTTGCTTTACTCCATTCTTCTTGTTAAATTTAATAATTTATGGCGTGGAGGTTTCATTATCATTATTCATTAGACACAAAGTCCGCTATTCTATAATATCCCTTCTTGCAATTTCAAGACCATAATTAATATACAAGAGTTACCTAATGGTGATAACAAGCACATATTTATGAGAAAAAGCACAAGAAATGATCTCGATCAGTGTGGCAGATGATTTATTGAGCAAAATGTACCAACCAGTTGCCCATAATTGTATAGCTTCCCCGTGACAGAAGGAACTTTCACAACAGTAAAATAGCAAAATCAAGAATTATTAATGGCTATAATCATTTTTGCTTTATAGAGGCAAAGAATGGAAAATAATAACCATAAGCATCTAACATGATAAGCATAGCTGCATGGGTGTTTAGTGTTCCCGTGAAGGGCTAAACCCTACAAACAATTCTTTGTCAAATTGTGGAATAGTTAAAATTACTCAAAAGAAAAATTTCTTTTTAAGTAGATATGAAAGAAAAAATAACATACACAGTAGAGAACAAATGCATAAGAACTTATCCAAGGTTACCTTGCAAGAACAGACCACTTATTGATTAGAAATGAGATTCTAAATAGGAAGTCAAGTATGTCATACAAATTAGAATACGCTGACTACTATAGGATTTAATTTAATTTCAGCACAGTTATTTGCCCTAAAGCTTAATTATATTTTCTGCATTGCAAACTATATAGTGGTAATGGTTCTTTAAACTATACCATAAATTCAATATAGAGATGTTAGATTATGTAAAATCTGACCGTAAGTCTGCTAAGAAATACTAAACCTTGGATATAATCTTATCCTCCCCTATTAATACTGCACAAAGACTGCACAGATACTGATGAGACTTTCATAGTTATTACCCACTGATCTTGGTGCTCAGGATATTTCTAAAAGAGAATACAAATTATCATTTTCTAAATATACAAGAAAATACTCAACTAAAATGAAGAAATCTAATCATGGAATTAGAAAGGGTAGAAAACAGCCATACCATGAAGATGGTCTTCCAATGACCCCATTGGCATGAATTCATAAACTAAGAGGCGTTGGTCCCCATCTGCACAGTATCCAATTAGATTCACAAGATTAGGGTGGTGTAGAAGACTGAGCATGAGAACCTCCACAAGGAATTCCCGATTACCCTGAAGACCATTTCTGTCTAATTGTTTTACAGCCACAACCTGTGCAGGTAAATGAACAAATGTCAGGACTCAGTACTCACTATTCACCAGAAAACAAAAACTCTTTGAGCATAGGAGATTAAAGTTGATATTATTATATTAGAAAATGGTGTTGTAATTCCTTTTAGTGTAGTTTACCCTATTTCAATCCTGGATTGATCCAATCCTGGATTGATCCAATCCTTGCACATGGGAATGGGACCTGCTGCATGTGGGGCTTTGTGCATACTATCAATTCATTTGCAAGTGGTAAGAGATGGTGAAAAAACAAAGTGTGAATGAATCATCTCCCTTACAAAAAAAATAGGGAAAATTTCCAGAGATTACAACTAAAAGTTGGAAAATATGAAAATTGCAAAGAGAGAGAAGCGAAAAGTGGTAAGTTGGACCAATGTTATAGATATATGGTCGAGTATTTCCTTCTCTCTCCTCTTCCCAAACACCCACAATAGAGAAATTGTAAATTTTGCTTAGCAATTGTACCATTGAATAATAAGAACAATATTGTCAAACTATGAACAAGGGGGGAAAAATGTACGGTTTGGAAAGAGTGTGATCTATGGAGATGGTGCTTGTATATCTTTTGGTACTCAAGAAAAATTTGAATAAAATGCGGATAAGAAGTTAAGAAGAAAGAGCAATTCTGGGTTTGTGGACAAGGATGACATCCAAGAAGCATGAAAATATTAATTTGTAGCCTACACATTTTATGACTGAATCATAGATTCATAGGTCTCCAAAATTGGTTTGGTTGAACATGAAAGAATTACCTGACCCGTGGTTTCGAGACGGCCCTTGTAGACCCTTCCGAAACCACCTTCCCCCAAAAAGGACTGGGGCCTAAAGTTCTTGGTTGCGGCTGCAAGCTCACGGAAAGTAAACGTTTGAGCGGCAATTTGAACAGCGGGTCCGTCCTTGAGAGCAGCCAATTCCCCATTCGAGTCTCCATTACTTGTTGACCTTAGCTTCTCTGCTCCTGTTATCCAATTCCAATGCAAAAAAAAAAAAAAAAACAACAACAACAGCAAAAACTTAGGAGCAGTGATCACAGCTGAGCTGCTATTGTCAATCATTATACATACACCATAGATCTGATTTCAGTCTCATTCATCAGAATCAGATCAAGCTGACTGGAGTTCAATATAAATAAATAATAATTTGTTTGTTGAAAAAGAAAAGAGAAAAGAACTAACCAGAGGCAGAGGGCAATCTGGAAATACGAGAGGGGACAGGGGGCTTAAGCTCATGGTCATGATGATTCGTTTCCTGCTGAGGATTGGGATTCAGCTTCTCATCCTCCCTCGAATCGAAACAAGAAAAACAACCCATTCCTTAATCCAACAACTTCGCACACACGCAATCAATCAAAGCCTCGCCTCATCTTCCAATCCTAAATAAAACTCGAGATTCTATTCTATGTCTTGAAGGAAATCAATAATAATAATAAACTTTATATTTGGTTTGGTGGGGTGGCAGAATAGAAAATATGTAAAATAAAACAAAAACCTTTGCGCGTACAAGTTAGTCCTTCCACTTTCACTTCGACCTGGGACTGCAACTAGGAATAGGACGACACCAAGTCCGAAACAGCGAGGGGGCTTCGGATTAATTCGGAGTGGATCCCAATCTACATATTATTTTTCTTAATTATTAAACCCAAACAATATATCTATTTTATAATTTTTCATTAGATAATACATTATTGTTAAAATTAAGGGTCCAGTTTTTTGAGTGTGTGCATATTTTTAGATTTTAAATATAATTTTCAAAACCACGCGCTTTTAGCTCAAATACATTTTTAACTAAATTTTAAGTTCATTTTTAAAAGAAAAATAATCTATAAATTTAGCTTTTAATTCTAAAAAAATATTATCTTTACATTTGACAATAATTTTTTTTTATTGTTATGATTGTTATCAGTAGGGTTGAAACACCGTACTTCTTCTATATATATTTTATTTAAGTTAAATTGAGAGAATTATAATTTTATGTATTAACAAAAATAAAGTTTTTTTGATTTTGGTAATTTTACAAGGTGAAAAACTACTGTGTCATGTGTGTAGTAAAAGTTTTTTTTTCCTCATGTGTAGTAGAAACTGATAAATGATTGGAGAAGTTGTGGAATAATTTAATATTAATTAATTAGTTATTAAATTAATATAATAAATAAAAGTTACTAAAATGTCTTTCATTGATAAAAGAAAATATAAAAGATAATATGATAAAAATTGTAAAAAAAACATAACAAAATAAGTACATAAAAATTTCATATCAATTTTATATAAATTATTATTATCATAATAATTAACATCATTATTAATAAAATTATTATTGTCACTAATAATATTGTCATCATCTTTATTAACACTAACATTTTTATCATTGTTAATGTTATTATTACCATCATCATCATTATTAGTACTATTAATTTTATTATTATTATTATCTACATTCATAATATCAATGATAATATCTTTACATATATTGTCGTTATTATAACTATTACAAAATACACTTATAAATTAATTTTAACTTGACAAAAAATTTGTAGAAAAAACTAAAAATAAAATTGAAATAAAATAAAAACTAAAAATTAAAAATGAACTATGGTGAAATTAATCTTCAATTTTTATAAAAAAAATTTAAAATAAAATGGATTTCAATAAGGTACTCTCATTCCAAAAAATTATAGAAGTTTGTTTGAAAAATTATTAACGATTAATTTTATAATAATTTTAACTGTTTTGATAAGTTAGTTTTGATTTAACTTTTGTTTCTAAGCAATTATACAATTCTAATTCCTCAAATTTTATTAGTGCAATTTTAATTCTTTAAGAGAGATGTACTAAATTAGAATTTTAATAAAAAAAATTTATTAGAATTTTTTTTATAATTTTTAATAAAAAAAAGTTTTAATACAAAATAATCACATAATATTTATAAAAATAAAATAAAATTTAATAGTTCATCAAAATTTAATATTATTCAATTAACATTATCAGAGTAATAAATATGAATAAGTAATGTCATATACGACCTTATTTTATTTACAAATTTTATTTAAAAAATTTTATTTTCATAATTTATTTAACTTCATGCACGCTTATTATAAAAGGTTAGTTCAGTGTCATTCGACTACTTCGTGTTTATAGCTACAACTAGGCATGGCAACGGGGCGGGGCGGGAGCGGGTTTTACGTTTCCTGCCCCCGTCCCTGCAAATTTAAACCGCCCCCGGTACCCGCCGGGGATAAAATCTAGGTCCCAATCCCCACCCCCGGCGGGC